GTGTTTACACGGGAGTGGGCGTTATAGACACGATCTTCATTATTATTATTAACAAATTACAACGAAAAGCTGAGACAAGAGGGGGGTGGGTGTTTAGTTTTAGTTTTAGTAGAGGTTTTACGGCGCTCGCAACTGCATAAGGTCATAATAATGAGCGCCAGAAGATTAGGGGTGTTACAAGGGAGTAACAAACACAAAAAAGAAGGAGGAGAGATAAGGACGATAGATGTTTGATAGGAAAGAAGAAGCCAACCACACCAGAGCACCCGTAAACCACGTGGGTGAAGCTGGTGGTAAAACAAATCTACAGTAGCGCTCATATGACTTTATGAAGTTGCAAGCGCCGTAAAACACTTACTAAAACAAAACAAAATATACAGTGGAGCCCTAACTAACGGTCAGCCAGACTAGAGAATAGAACTACAACTACAGTACAACGGAATAGATGACACGTACAACAATGAAGTTGGTTCAAGAGAAAACATGCCGTGTGGACCAAGGGACGTAACTGATGAATTACTCGTAACCACAATCTAAGCTATTGGTTATTTCCCCTCTTTGATTACACCCCCTAAGCTATTGGCTATTTCACTATTTCCCTTTTTTGATCCCCCCCCCTCAAACATCTAAACTATTGGTTATTTCCACGACTTTAACTTTGTTTCTCCTACATATTATTAATGTTATTTTAGATCTCTTCCCCACTCTACTACGTAGTCTGTGAATTAGATTATTTGACTACACTATTGTCATAGGCTATCTGAATTATTCATACAAATTTAACTGAAAACTTTTATTGTCAATATACTTATATAGGCTACTTATATTTAAGTGGGTGAAGCAATTCATTATGTGGGAAAACACAATCACCTTGGATTTTCAGGTGGCAAATATATTTGAATCACAACACGATAGAATCAGACATTTGTTAATTTTTGAGCATGCTGGGTTTTTGGTATTATCTTAAAGTTTGTTCATTTGTCTTGATTTCAATGAAGAAAATACCTATCGACCAGGGGGTCGCCTGGTTCCAGCGGAAAAATTAGTGAGAAAATGAACGTCAAAGTATGACAATTTCCATAGCTTGAGAATCCGTAAAAACTGAAAATGTACATTTTTTGTGCCTTTAAGCAAGGATTTTTCTGTAAAATGTACCCAGAAATTACTTTTTTAATGGACAAAAAAGGTGATGAGCAAAAAAAACCCAAAATTTGATTTTTAAAAATTGTCTGCCACAAAATGCTGTTTTCTCCAATTTCATCGTGGTGATTCACATTTTCATATTTTTAAAAACAAAAAGTAATTAAATAAATAAATTGAAGGGAAATCTATAAATAAAACATAGAGACAGGCACAGAGAGATAAACAGCAGGAGTTTATCAGCTAAACAGCTTTGAAGGAGAATAAAACTTTGTACGCAGCTTTTCTGAGGCAGCTATACTCCTTTTTCTTTATGTTTAAGCATGTTCTTTGTCTTGAGTCGAAGCGCATGTTGTGAAAGTAGTCGCGTCCAGTTGTATAAAAAAAAAAAGAGAAGCAATTTCATCAGTTGTTTAAAATTAATTTCAGGATCAGGGAGTCAAAACGTTAATTTTATTTCATCAACCACATATCATCCCGTATAGGACACTACTTTTACAAGAAGAATCGGATCTTCAATGCACCCAGCATTATATCCATGAAAATGAAATTAAAACCCAAAAACTTAGTGCCAGCTGATCAAGGGAACAAACTCACAAACTGACTGACCGACTTGCATCGCAGAAATTATTCTATTGAGAATAATAATACTGTGATCACAGACTTTTTAAATTGTAGAGCCTAACTATGAGCTTTTCTACATGCATCAATATCAATAATTCTTTTACTTAACCTTTCTAAAAGTAAAATGAGAATGATTATGAGTGTTTTAGGGTGTCTGCAGGGGTCATAATAATAACACTGGTCGACAAAATTTTAAAATAATTTTGGGCTTAGGCACATGAATATGATTTTATATGGAATTTGGATCGTACCATCCGAATCTCGTGTCAGATTTTCTCTATCAAGTCAAGATTTTTTATAGGATGAGTTACCTTTTTTTTTGCTTTTCTCTTTGACTCATTTAAACTTAACCCCTAAAACTTCATGTATATGAGTAAAAATAAAACAACTTTAAGCTGTTATGCTCAGTTCATTATGTTAAATGTTTTTCTCGAGTGATTTCATCATCTGTTCAAATGCACCATCACATCTGACTCTTTTAATGTCAGGTCCAATTAATTATGCCTTCTTCCAACTTATTAATTAGCATCAGTGACGCTTGAGAATAGCTTTATCCGTCCAGACATAGTAACAGCACACCAAAAAAACACTGAAAACACGGTGAGAGGACCCTAAGTTCAAGAATTAATTCACCAAAAGACACAACTAAATAGTACAGTCAAACCTGTGTAAGACGGCCACCCGTTGTCAAGGAGAAAAGTGATCGTATAAGACAGGTGGCCGTCTTAGGCAGGACTGATCAAGAGGAAGAAAACAAACCATTCCCATCTAAAGTCTCAATCGAAAGTAGTCAGTAGCCTCATTGTTGTTGTTTTTGTTGTTGTTGTTGTTGTTGTTGTTGTTGTGTGTGTGTGTGGTAGCCTATCCGTACGAAATGTTCGGAGCCCCGAAGAGTGTGCTCTTCGCCAGGGCCACCGCCTCCCTTGGGTAGCGGGTGAGGCAGTCCAACCTCCCTGAATCCTCCCCGAAGAGATGCCACCGCCGAAGCGTCGCTCGTTCTCCGAGTGGTGGCGACTCATGTGTTTGTTTTAACATGGCACTCGGTCTTCCTTGTCTGACACATTTAGTTTTATTGTCACCCTTGCACTAAATCAGCAAATGTTGTTGCTTTGTATTTCGTTTGTAATTTTTATTTTGTTGCTGATTTAGTGCAAGGGTGACAATAAAACTAAATGTGTCAGACAAGGAAGACCGAGTGCCATATTAAAACAAACACATGAGTCGCCACCACTCGGAGAACGGGCGACGCTTCTGTCACAAGTTCATGTTGACGTCCTTTGTTATAGACTGGGTAAACAGTGACCACTCATCTCACTTACGATTTGTATGAGAACTGGGCGGGGCTTATGGGAATGAGGGATCACACGCTAACCTCACCAGCAGCTGAAAATTGGTACCTATTGGTCAACAGTGGGAGGGGCCTACGCAACATGATCGGTTGGAGGGACTACCTGACAACAACGACAAGTGATTGAATATGACGGCTCGCCCACAACGACAGGGGCCAATGCACAATTTATGACAAAACGTAATGGAGTCACTGAGGTGGCCGTCTAAGACAGGTGTTATTGCTTAGTGTGATAGGGGTTGTGTGGTAAAATATGGTGGCCGCGGCCGCGTTGGACAGGTGCCCGTTTTACACAGTTAAATTATATAGAAAAAACGCAAGGGGGGAAATGGAAAGTGGCCGTTTGTACAGGTGGTCGTCTTATAGAGGTGGCCGTCAGGGCAGGTTTGACTGTAAATAGTGGAAACAAGTTTGTTTAGAAAAGGTTTTCATGACCCATTCACTTACATTAAAACTTTAATAAATGATCATCAAATAATTACCTCCCTTCAAAGTTTTCTGCTTACTCTACTATACAATGTTAAAATTCTGTTAACTTTTCTTGCATTGACTTTTACATTTTAGATTATATTATTTTTAATCGCTATTTGTATAATCAATAAATTGTATAAATAAAAGGAGTTAGGATTTTAAGACAATATGTCGTTCAAAATTATGATATAAGACATTAAGGAAACATATCATGCTTGATTTATTGCATTTCTAAAAATAATAAAAGTTATTTCCCTTGCATCACAGAACTTGTTATTCTTACCTCCCCTGACAAAATCAAGCATACTGAAATTATATTTATGAATATAAAAAAATATATGAATTCTGCAAACAACACACTTGGATTCAGCACACTAATTTCAGATTTGACAACTTTCGTAGCTAACCTTTTTTTTTTTTCATTGTTGACCAATAAAATTGTAAAGCACATAATATTATATAGTGCTGACTGTGGAACATGGATGCGTGCTAAACTAATGCAATTATCATTATTATTACATTTATCATTATTATTATTATTATCATTTCTGTTATTATCATATTTATTATTATATTTATTATTACTATTTATTATCATCATTATTAATATTATTATTATTATTATTATTATTATTATTATTATTAGATCTACTATTTTCTATAATTATCATTATCACGGTTATTATTATTATTATTATTATTATTATTATTATTATTATTATTATTATTATCATTATCATTATTTCTATTTTTTATCATTATTATCATGATCACAATTATTATTATCATTATTATTATTATCATTAATATTATTACTATCATCATTATTATTATATTTTTATGTAAACCTTTGATAGGTGGTGGTGTGTGCCATGAAAAAGTTGGTGAGTCTGATCTAATACATATGCGACAAGCTTTATACCAAAATTTTGTCAAGTCAAATCGTCTCTCATCCATGCATGCATCTCATACAGGCTATAATATTGCAACAAACCTTCAATCATTAAATTTTTATACGAACTGCCCTCACCGGGACATTTTTTTACCTTAATCCCCCACACACCCTACTGCTCGCTGTCTAACTGTACGTAGGTACATAATTAAGTTGCAAAAGAGAATCTGATCCACGTTCTTTAACAGTTCTAGCTTCGATAAATTATGTTTTGGAAATTTTACGACTTGCACACTTTACTATGGGGCAAGCTTCAAATCTGCCTGCCAAATAAACCAAGCTGGGGCTCACTGCTCGTATGGCCGTATGCACTTTTATGCAGTTGTGAACGACCTACAACCTCAATAAAACAAACAAATAACCCAAGCTAAAACACAACACAACCCAACCACAGGCCTACTTGGCTACGTGGTTCCATTAGACCCCAGGTTTCAATTGTTTTATAAAAATTTGTTTTTTGAGAAAACCACTCTGATTGCCACTCCCCCCTCCTGATCCCCGCTGAAGGGGGACAGGAACGATCCTCAATTGCCCATGGTCGTCTGCGAGAGCAACAGTAGACCAGGACTCGCTTCACGCTCAGAGGAAGTGACGCAATCTCGTCATCGTGGTTTACGTGCCGATCGATTTTACTCGACGTCTCGGCAAGACATACTTCAGAAATGATCCCTAAAAGTATGATCTTACCTTGACATGGCTTAACATTGAACTATATACTTTTCGTAATTTTGGTAAACAATGGTTTAGTGTTACATTTTTTTAATGAGTACAGCGTTCATTATTAATTTAATAACTACATATACTGACCAATATTGTTATCAAAACAATAGCAGACGTGTGTAAACGTGTTTCCATAAAGTGACTTCTTCAATAGCTATAAACGTTTAATAGTAAAAAGATGAATGGGCAATTTCTACAGTTACAGTCAAGGGACGCAACTAAAATTGAATAAAGGGAAATAACTACATAAAAGTCGAGACAGGCAGCTGGAAACGAGTCAAGGGACGTAATTCTTGATATATTTGAGTGCAGTTTTTTTAACGTTTACATAGAGACCAAATACTAGATCTAATACATACTTAATTTGCTTCTGTTATACATCTTATACATCAGTAAAGTAAAATAACTGCACTCGACGCCATCTATAAGCGTCATTATTAATGTAAAGTTGATTTTTAGGCCATAATATTTCACATTCATTTAAATTTGAATAGACTAACTATAATTTTACATGGTAAAAAAATCAATTAAAATCAATTAAAATCAATTAAAATGTGTTGCTGTACTCTATGTACAGTTTACTTCTGTGTTACCCTTTAACCATTGTATATTTGTACAGATCTTGAATCTGAAAAGATTCCTTCTGGTCCTAGTATTTTCCTTTACACCTATACATAATGTAAAATAATGTTTGCAGTGTAGAGTGTATAGATCATTATATTTCAGGCCCACTTATATATTTCAATTTTTGGCTATTTTACATCGGAATGTGTTATACTGTTACATTTTCTATTGGTTGTGTTGGGTTGTTTCAAATCGTAATGATCATATTATTGTATTTTACTGGGCCAGAGTAGTAAAAAAATACAAAAGAAGTTTCTTTCAATCTGGAATAATTTAAGGCTGCAGTCGACATAAACACTAAAGTGTTTTCCTCTTGATTAAAAAAAATTAGATATAACACAAAAGTACAGCTCGTATACAATATAATTCAAATATATGAATAAAACTCTACAGGTCTGCGATAAATTCATGGATACGGTTGAAAGATGCATCTGACGAGATGATATGTGTATCAAATTATTGTCAGCTTTACTTTTCTCTTCATATTGAATTTTACTGAAAGTAATATATGTCAAGACGAGGTGGAATCAGGCGCTCATCAATTTTTGTATGTGTGTATTTTTGGGCATGCGGAGTTATTGATATCATCTGAAAGCTTGTTTATTTGCCTTGCTTTAAGTGAAAAAAATATCCATAACTAGTTTAAATAGAAGTCGAAATATTTGCAATTGAAGTAGGTGGGGTAGCCTGGTTTCAGTGGTTAAATTAATGAAAAAATGGCCGCCAAAGTTTGGTAACTTCATTAGCTTAAGAGTCCTTGAAAACAGAAAATTACATAATATACATTGTGCCTTTAATCAACGTTTTCCAGTAAAATTTCACGGGGAAATGTGGCTTTAAACTGACACAAAAGGTGTTGAGCTAAAAAAGAAATTTCAATAAAATTTGCCGAACTGGCAGAAAAATACCTGTTTCTTCGTTTTTATAATTTTGATGAGCTCCTGATTTCACTACGATGCCTCACATATATTATTTAAATTCTACGTAATTCTTCTTATGTCTCTACCATTCCCGTACAGGCAAGAAATATTTCCCACTTGGACGATAAAGTATCACCATACCTCATCTCACCTCATCTCACCTCATCTCACCTCATCTCATCTCATCTTTATACTTTAGTGTGTTATGGAATTATTGTCTGGACACTGTAGCCTGCTTTATTGTCTCATTAATCTGGCATCAGTGGCCTAGTGGTTAGGCTCTCCGACTCGCAACTGTAAGGTCGTGGGTTCGAATCCCGTCAGGGGCCCAACGTTGTGTCCTTGGGAAAGGCACTTTAAAAGAATTTTCCTCACTTCACCCAGGTGGAAATGAGTACCCGGCTATAGACAGCGAAAGATCTTGTCAGTTTGTTAGTGTTTGAGCTGCTTGCACTGTATGCTTCCCGGGAAGCTGAGAATGTTTCTGAGTGTTCTATGGTCTGCTGGGGTAATAATATAATGTAAAGCACATACAGCTTGCTGTTGAGCAGGGATATGCGCTATACAAATGCTATTTATTATTATTATTATTATTATTATTATCACTTGCCTTGTATAAAATATATTTGACATAAAATAACATCACTCGCACTTCTTAAATAGTTCCTACTTTTCAAGTAGTCGAAAGGAAGCAGAACTTGTAAACAAGCTAGACCTCAATCTCTGAGCGCCAAAATCCATCGAAACTCCGCAAAATTCTTACAAAAATGATTGTTTTGTTGTCATAGCGACAAGGAGAAACAACATGGAGCCTGGTATAACAGAAAAGCCCTACAGTGAAAAATATTCAACTAAATTTGAGAAATTCTTGTATAAATGTGTGCTAGGGTGATATCGCTACAATTTTGTGTTAATTCCTAAGGACTTGTACAGCTGATAAAATGAGGTAAGTTGAAATTTTTGAAGAGGTGTTGCATATTTTTTTTTTCTCATTCGTTTTTGTCGGAGGAAAAATACAATAATACAATCAGAATATGGGTCATTGTAATTGATATAAACAGAATCCTCTATTGATTCCCATCAGTTTGGTATATGACAATATACATATTAGAATAACTTAGAGCACTGATATCACAGTAATGCATAAAATAGATGCACCCCAGGTTAAAAACTGAACAGGGAAAAATAACTCCTGCCCAGACCCTGAAAAAACCATGGATAGAATCAGTTAAGATAAACGAGAACAATGAAGAAAAAGAAGCGAGAAAAGTTAGTTTAGTTTTAGTAAGAGTTTTACGGCACTTACTGCAACACAATAAGGTCATATGAGCGCCAGAAAATTAGAGGTGTTACGAGGGAATAACAAAAATAAAAAAAGAAGGAGGGAAGATAAAGACGATAGACGTTTGATAGGAAATAAGGAGCAAACCACACCAGAGCACCCGCCAACCACCCACACAAGAGAATCAGGCTACAAAGGCTTGGGTAGACTGAAGAAAAAACTTTGCTGGACGGTACGTGTTAAACAACAGATGCCATTCGCCTAAATATGGACCGAAAGTCGCACCTCGATCCCCCATAACATTGAACGATACCAGAAAAAGGAAAAAAGAAAAAGTAAAGTGAACTGTCTCTGGACAGGCTTGCTGTTGTAGTACAAATTAGTTCATATACCCCTCAATCATTTTCCACAGTTTGACCGGCTTGATTTTTTTTGCAACTCAATTCGACAACTTTTACGAAAAGTGCTTTGGCTCATTTTAAGACAAAGAACGGACTTGAACATAATATCTAAGGAGTGTAACTTCCCTCAGAGAAGCTTCATTTTTTAAAAAAGTTTTATTTCAATTCAAATCTGTTTATAAATTAGATGAGAAACTTCTGATAATTAGGGTCAACGTTCATCACACTGGCTGTTGGGAGCCGTCACTTGTCGTTTTGAGTAGAAGCTCCTCAGGTTTTATTTTTCATTTAGTAGAGGGTTTTACGGTGCTCGCAACTGCATAAGGTCATATGAGCGCCAAGGGGTGGGTGTCAACATAGAAGTCCTTACAGGGAATCAGGCTTACTCTGCTCACCTCTCTAGCTTCAACAGCACAAGGTCTGCTTCGACTATCAAGGCACCCCGGAAATAGCAGGTCACAAGAAAGTGACAAACATACAAAAGAAGTAGAGGAAAATGACAATAGTAAGGATTAGGAAAGAAAAAGCAGCAGTTCCCTGTTGTAGATCAGGCACAGTTATGAGCGTGACATGAGTCAGCCCATTTACAATTCTACTGTGCATAAACGAGAAATGTTCCCCCCTTTGGGAATGGCCTAAAGACACTACAGTCAGTAGCACTGCCCCGGGGGGTAAGCTAGGGTTTAAAGGGTAGGGGAATGCAAAGAAGAAAAATGGTCAGTTTCTGCGACTCATTAAAAGTCGCCAAAGTGCGCACATGCGTGCGTGTATGTGTGTGTGTGCGCGCGCCTGTGTGAATATTTTTTTGTGGGGGAGGGGGAGAGAACAGTAAGAGAGAGAGAGAAAAAGAGATGGTGAGAGAGAGAGGGAGAGAGAGAGAGAGAAAGAGAGAGAGAGAGCAGAGATATGGGGAGACTGTTATGGTGCTTGTTTCTTTGTATTAATTTCAAACACGAAATGCACTACTTAAGGGAAATTTATTATCATAATTAGTGCGTCTTTGCCCACATTTAGGCGGTCTCGAAGTCTAGAGGTATGGTGTTTGGCTTTTATTCAATGAGTCACAGATTCGGAACCTGACAACGATGAAACGTTTTCTTAATAATTTTCTCCGTTCACCTCCTTTCTGATTCTCTAAGTCATGTTCTTTCATTAAAATTTGTTTTCATCTCCACTTTCTGAACTCCCCCACCCCCTCCCCCGGCCCCTTTTCCCCCCTCCTAGGGCTCCTGACTCTTTCTATTGCTACTCCTTTCCTCTTTCTACTACTGTCTTTCAGATACACCCCTGATCTTAGGGTAGAGAAGATCTGACACCTTAGCCTTCTCGGATAAGGACGAAAAAGTTGTGCATGTTAAAGATCCTGGTGCTCCTAAAATCGATTAAGAGTAGGCTTTGACCGCCTCCAGGGCAAAATTCTAAATTACTTCTCTCCAAAACTGAAAATATTTTAAAAAATCGCACCCCCAGTGCTTTCTTGTCGTATCTCCATTTTTGATAACAGTGAAAACAGTTCATAACCAAAAGTGAGCTGAAAAAGATGTCACATTTTCACTTTAAATTTTTTAAAATGGAGATACGAAAAGAAAGCACTGAGGTCGCGTAATGTGTACCGCACGCTCATATGCCCTATTATGCAGTTGCGAGCGCCATAAAACTCTTTTTACCACACTTTTGATAGACGGAGGAACTATCTGGAAAACTTTTACAAAGCAGTACGTACTCCACTATCAGCATG